GAACCCTTTCTTTCACTGTTTCATTGGAGATATGGTCCCTATAGCAATGCCAAAAATGCTTCTGAAGCATCTCATCTCCATCACCTTTATTTTCCTTTCAAGATCGGCTGTTAATGTCCAGGATTCGCAGGCATACAGGAAAATGGAGAGGACTAATGACACTGATGAGCATGTTATAAAAATAATCCACCCCCCCTCCCCCACATGTGAACTATTTAGGCCTTCTAGCACGCCTAAATTAGGAAAAGTAAAGTACTGTATAGGCATAGGGTAAAGTAAAAGTTAAAAGTAAAAGTAAAGCAACAATATAAAAACATGTGCCGGCTGGTAAGGTAAAATTAAGGCCAAGGCTTATAAAATTAAAACTTCCTCTTCACCTGACAGAACTAAAGGCCTAAAATAGCGTCTTTTTGTTCATGTACAATATCCATTTAACAAAATTGAACAAGATAAAAAAAAAAGGTAGCCTACAGTTCATGAATCGTTTGTCATTTACGACGCCATTGTGGGAAAAACAAGGAGAACTCTTCTGTCTTCAAAGATACGTTATAAAAGTTGCCCAATTGGATATATTTAGATTTAAATAATTTTTTTAACATTTTATAGATCTATCTACTTTGGTATTTATTTATTTATTTAGGCATTTTTATATAGCGCTTACCTTAAAGCTCTAAGCGCTTTACAATTATTAAAAACATGTAAACTAAGTAAAATAAAAATGAGACACTAGGAAAGTAACTACTATACTATAGAAACAATTAAAATGGTTATAAAACGAGGACACTTTGGCACGTTTTGGCCTATACTAGCCCACTGTATCCATGCACAGCAATGTAAAGGTGCTACTCGGAAGGGACCTCAATATCAGGGGGCGCTGCTTTTCCTTTACACGGTTGTGCATCCATTTCGGACAGAACGCGGCTCGAATTTTGAGGGTGGAGGCATGGGCGCCCGCAGAAAACTTTCTAGGGGGGGGGGCAAAAATCGATTTACTTTCCAGGGGGGGGGGGCAAAAAATGTTTAGTAATGTTTTAATATAGTTTTAATTTACTGTAGCGTATTTGTATGGTGAACGAACGGACAGGACATCAGCTTAGTTACTTTCTCTTTATTTTCTCTTTACTTTAATAAATTTTTGGTCTATTTTTGTCTAAATTTTTTTTTCTCCAATCAACCCATGGGTGGGGGTTATGTGGGAAATATTTGTTAAAACTTTAAATAAAATTGTCAATGTCCTGTCTTAAAATTTGTGACAGTTTCGATTTCTTTCTCAATAAATAGCTGGTGATTTACTAAGACTAAGAGGCAAAAAGCGGGAAAGTAATGAAATATATGTCAGTAGCGAAATAAACACCATTGCAAACAGATGAATAATAGAGCAATTTGGTTCCATCCAGATACATAAAATCACTAACACTGCCTCTCATTTTACTCACCACAAACCAGAGTCAACTTAGGTGGCATCTAAATAATTAAGTGCCATCTATCAAACTAGAGCTGACCAACCATGGGCGCCCGCAGGAAAGTTTGTCGAGAAAAAGTCAATGCACTTGCATAGGAAGGGGGCTGTGGAGTATCTAAATCATCTAAATCATTTAGTATCTAAATCATCTTCATTACTAGATTTACAAAAAAAAAAAAATAATCTACGAAAATGGCTTAAACTAAAAAAGAAAATAGGAAAGAAAAAAAAAAATCTACCCGTCCTAAGAGAAATTAACATAGCCAAAAGAAAACCAACTAAAAAGAATAAAACTATGAATCTATGAAATAACAAGGAGAAAAAACAATTTTAAAAAATAATTCTCATACTATCATTGTTATCACACTCGACTCGGAAGCCATTTAATCTGTACGGATCCACTCCGGGTGCGAATAGATATTTGCGATTAAAGGTACCCGGGTACCTATAGATGCGGCCTTGTGAATGACGCTGGACATAGAGGTAATCTGTGTTTTTAAATGAGACCTCCTGGTTTAGAGACAGCTCGACGATCGAATAGTTCTTACATTATTTAAAAAAAAAAAAAAATTGTTATCGTAAAAAGGGAATTTTAAGTTTAATAATTTATAATTTACAAATATGAAATTTCATTATTAATTATTTATGTTTTCAAAAGGGGGGGGGGGGGGATCGGTTAAATAATAATTTTTTCTTCTTCTTCTATATATTATTAAGGGCCCACGATCAATTTATTGATCATTTTGGCTCCAATGCATGTAGATGGGATTTGCAATATTTCTGTGCCTGTTGCTGATGAGGATATTTCAATGATTTCAAGTGCTACTTTGTGAGGAATCCGCCTGGGGGATCGCACCCTCCACCCACGCCACTGGACTGGCGATGATGGCGAAATCCACATTATTTTTCGGATGACCTCGGCAGATTTATGTCCTTCCTTTGAATCCGGCCGATAGCATTAAAAAAAAAAATTTTTTTTTAAATAAACAGCACCTTCCAAAACTAACGGCTTTAAAATTCTTCTCTTAACCCGGCTTGGTAGTGTACGAAAAGCCATGACAAAACTGGACAGGCCCATACTTCCCATTGAAATGCTAATAACTTTATGTCGATTAAAGTTATTCTTCATTTTAAGTATGGTATTGTGTTTTATTTTTTTTTTAATATTTAAAAAAAAAAATTTTTATATATTTTTTTTTTGCAGAAGCAACAAATTATAAGCCATGTGCATAGTAATCGTTCATTTCTCATTCAAAGTATGACCCGTCCCCAGTTTTGACGGAGGGATGCACCGAAGTATGGATGTTACAAGGTATGGATGCACCAAGGTATGGATGTACCAAGGTATGGATATAACAAGTGATCGATGCACCAAGTTATGGATGCACCAAGTTATGGATGTACCAAGGTATGGATGCACCAAGGTATGGATATAACAAGTGTTGGATGTAACAAGGTATGGATGTAACAAGGTATGGATGCACCAAGGTATGGATGCACCAATGCATGGATGCATAAAGAAATGGATGCACCAATGTATGAATGCACCAAGGTATGGATGCACCAATGTATGAATGCATCAATGTATGGATGTATCAAAGTATGGATGCACCAATGTATGAATGCATCAATGTATGGATGCACCAATGTATGGATGTAACAAGGTATGGATGCACCAAGGTATGGATGCACCAATGCATGGATGCACCAATGTATGAATGCACCAAGGTATGGATGCACCAATGTATGAATGCATCAATGTATGGATGTATCAAAGTATGTATGCACCAATGTATGAATGCATCAATGTATGGATGCACCAATGTATGGATGCATCAATGTATGGATGCACCAATGTATGGATGCATCAATGTATGGATGCACCAATGTATGGATGTACCAAGGTATGGATGCACCAAGGTATGAATGTAACAAGGTATGGATGCACCAATGCATGTATGCATAAAGAAATGGATGCACCAATGTATGAATGCACCAAGGTATGGCTACACCAAGGTATGGATGCACTAAGGTATGGATATAACAAGTGATGGATGTAACAAGGTATGGATGCACCAAGGTATGGATATAACAAGTGATGGATGTAACAAGGTATGGATGCACCAATGTATGGATGCATGAATGTATGGATGCATGAATGTATGGATGCACCAATGTATGGATGCATCAATGTATGGATGCACCGATGTATGGATGTACCAATGTATGGATGCACCAATGTATGGACACACCAATGTATGGATGCACCAAGGTATGGATGCACCAATGTATGGATTGGAATAGGATTAAGAAGCTTTCAAGCTTCTGACTAGTATAAGAGGCTAAGAGGGAGCAATAAGTGTATTTCCCTACAGATCTAGATATGTTTGGTTAAACTGCCCGATGATGTCACAGAATAAAAATGGCTACCTTAACCCCATGAGCACACTGACACCATGATGTTTGAGCAAACTTCATTCCCTTTCTTAAAATTCAATGTCCATATTCATTCAACTTGAACCAAATCAATTCCGTATCTAACTCTTAGTTTTGACTTTCAATATAAAGTTATTTATTGGACTTAATTACTGCCAGTGCATTTTACAACTGTTTAAGTTTATTTGTCTTTTCAATGAAAATGTCATTTAATCTTTACTGTTAAACTTGTCCTGCTACGTCAGCTTGTTTCAAGCTTTACCCCAAACGGTGGTGAGTGTTTACAAATTTACCACAGTCCCTTCAGATTCATTTACCTTAACCTAAATGTACTGATCAAATTACTATCTTAATTTACTAGTAGTGAGAAATGGTTTTGTAAGCCCTACCAAACAAGTCATCTATATAGCACACTTAGGACATAGACTACATAGATTTAAGAAAACATTTTTTTTTTAATCAGTGAAGATATTGTATTATTTTTTAGATAGATGTACAGATAATATAAAGAAACGTTAAAAAGAATTTAAAAATAAACAAAAAAAAACCAACAACATGAGAATTGTTGCGATGTTCTCATCAAGTAATGTGTGACAGTTTTACAGATCCAAATAATTTGAGAACCATCACTTTTTGATATGTTAAGCTCCATCTTTATTTAAAAAAAGAAACAAAACAAGGGCATTACATTAAAAAACAGATTGTTCATAAACATAAGAATAAATAAAAAGAAAGAAAATCTAAAAACTATTTATTTGACATCTCATGATACACAGTGAGCTTTTAAGCTGGGCATTCTAACCAATCATTTCTCAACCAGGGGGGTAAGTGGTTGGGGGGGTGGGCGTGATAGGGATCATGTGAGGGATTGCTAGGGGCCCTGTGAGAAGCTTTTAGAAATGTAGTGGATTCTGATAGACCTGACAATCACTCTCATGGTCCTTGTAGGGCACAAAGGTTTCTAGAGAGAAAGAGAGAGAAAGAGAGAGAGAAAGCAAAAGAAAAACTGGTCTGACAAATCATTCTATCACACATAAATCCTTGCATCTCCCATGAGCCAACAGCCAGTCAGTCGGCCAACAGCCAGTCAGTCAGCCAACAGCCAGTCAGTCGGCCAACAGCCAGTCAATCGGCCATGCTTTGCTATTTACATAATATCTGGTCTCCAGTTACCATTTTGTTATTGAATTATTTTTTACCTCTGTGGGCATTTGTTTTTGTTCAGTCTATCACAAGAAGATATCCGACCAAGCTACAGCCAAGGTGGGGGGGGGGGGGGGTAATAATCTGTACAGGGATGTGTACTTGAAAGACTATCAATGGCATATTGATTGAGTATATATTTAAGAATGTTAACACATCTCAGAGAAGAGGAAATGGTATCTTTAAGATGTAATAACAAAAAAAAAACTATCACTTAAGGCTACATTCAAGGATGTCAGCACATCAAGAGGCCTGCTGATGGCTTACAATCAGCTGGACATATCGGTTTGTTCAAGGGTCATTTCTCAAGCTGAGAAACCTGTTAATTAAAGTAGAAGTTGTACCCCATTGAATGCTTGCTTGGACTCCACCATTGGATGAGCTCCTCAGTGATGGTTACAAGCTGAACAACCAAGAATAATAACAGACGTAATTGTTGAACATACAAAAGTTGAATAGATAAGAACAATTCACCGGACAACAAACAAGTCCATTGAAGCTGTCAAGCAGTTAACTTAAGTGATCTGATAATTAAAGTTTAAAAAAAATCACCAAAAAACTGATGGTCTCTTGGTCAAGTTGACCCGTGAGTTACACTCATAGTTGATTCACATCAAGATGGTTGAATTTGAACTTGAGTGAAATTATTGAAATCGTGTCTATTTATCCAGTAAAGTTCACAATTCGGAGGATTATATCTTACAGTAGTTTTCGTATGTGGGTCAAACAGTTTTCAGTCTAAATTTGAAATTTTTTTACAGGGAAAAAAACCCCCAAAGACAACCATTATCTTACAAAAATTTGTTGCTCCCTAAGGAATAGAAAATTTTTAAAAAAATTATTAATTAATTAAATTAATAATTAATATAATTTAGTTAAATATGATAATAATATTTTTTGTATTGTTACCAGGTTTGCTTGCTGCTGTGAACATATTTACAAGGAAAAGAGAACACATATGTTCTGTCTAATCTAATACACAGGAGGTGTACAGAAAAGCTTTTTGTGCGACATGTTCGTTAAGGAAGAGGGTTTCACGACTTAAAAAACTGAGACCTGTCGGGGGCCGGGACGAAAAGCGGGTCCAGTGCCTGGACCGTGATCTTCGGGGTATAAATTCCTGGCTTGGCTGGGAACCGCACCCCTGCGATGTCGATCTCATACTTGGCGCCCTTGCTCATCACCCATTCGTTGATGTTCTTCTGGACCAGAAATTCTCCATTGCTGTCAGCCTCTCCTATGAACCCGAGGCAGACCATCTTTTCCAAAGTGAAGCTGGTCAAGAGAAAGTTATCATAAACATACGCATATCATGGTGAAGCCGAATGAAACCGACACCACAGCCAACAGTTATTTAGCCAGTCATTGTAATGAAAAGCAACCCCACAAAAAAATGTTAAGTTTATCATTTAGATCAGCGGTTCTCAACCTGTGGGTCGCAACCCATTTGGGGGCCGAAAGACCCTTTCCAAGGGGTCACCTAAGACCATTGGAAAACACTTATACTGTACAGTTATGAAGTAGCAACGAAAATGATTTTTTTTGTTGGGGGCCGCCACAACATTAGGAACTGTATAGAAGGGTCGCGGCATTAGGAAGGTTGAGAACCACTGATTTAGATCCATGAATCCCTTCAGGTCCTGATCACAGTAGTTTAGTCTTTCACTACAGTAAGGCATGGTTGAAATCATTGACAGGCAAATAAATTTTTTTTAATGACATTCATAACAGAGAAATTCCACAGCAACGTAAATTTTGGTTGGCATCTGAACCCAGTATATATATATATATAAAGACATAAAAACTGAATCGAGATCGCTCAGTGCAATAACAATATTTGAAGTGGGAAAGAAGCTATCTTACTAAGGCACAGAGGTCTTGCGACAGAGCATTTCAAACTGTGGGCCGCTGAAATGTGTACGTGAGTGAAAACACGTTGGAGGTATCTGTTGCAGTGTGAAAGTGTGTCAAGACATGTTGGTGATGTCAGATGAAGTATGTATTTTCCTCAAGACATGTTGGTGATGTCAGCTCCAGTATGTATGTGTCTCAAGACATGTTGGTGATGTCAGCTCCAGTATGTATGTGTCTCAAGACATGTTGGTGATGTCAGCTCTAGCTTGTATGTGTCTCAAAACAAGATAGAGGTGTCGGCTTCATTATGTATGTTTGCCAAAACACATCATCTGTGTTGGTTACAGTATGTAAGTGTCAAAGCACTTCAGAGATGTCAACCGTAAAATGTGTCAAAGCACTTCAGTCGTGTCAGCTGCATGTGTGCATGTGTCAAAACACGTTAGTGGTGTCAGTTACAGTGTGCAGGCGCATTGTCATAAATTGACCTCTATCTCTTGTAAAGGGTTAGAAGCTGGTGTTTTTTTTAAACTCTGGTGAGCTGTGCTTACTGTGTTGGGAAATGCTGTAAATTCTGTCACTAACATAAACAGTTTGGACAGCTCCGGCCTAGGAGAATTCGGTTGATAGGGTTAGGGATAACGTTTGGGTTAGGGATAGGGTTAACTCATTCCCTCCTGCAATGCTACTTCAGTATTTAATTTATTTGCCTGAGAAAGGGAAGTAACCCCGTTTTGAAATTGTTTAGATTTTTTTTATATGTATTTAAGCTACTAAATATTATTTAATGTTAATGAATTAAGAACAAATGCAACAAAAAATGAATAAGGTTTAATATAAATATAACATTAGCGGGGAAAAAATAATGAACAATGACCAAAAAATCGATTTTCGGCACCTCGGACGAACACATGCTACATATAGACGCGCCGCACTAAAGCACACATAGTTTTAAAGCGAAACAAGATAAAAACTTCTGGTTTTTAAATTAAAATCACGCTGAACCACGCCATCGCCGGAAGTCTCGAGGGATGCGAGATTTCATTGCTATTTTTAAATAGATATGAGAGAGGTGTGTCGCTTTGCGCCGGGACGCATTAGGACGCATCCGGCGAATCCCGAAAAGACGCATTTAGTCGCAAATGTCGGGAATGAGTTAAGGATAGGGATAGGTTTTCAGCTTTTGTTGTTCGTCCTTCACGCGAGGCAATATTCCACTTGACCGGAGCTGTATTTTGTTTAAAGTGGGGGAGAGTTGGTCAATTTGTCTGCCTCACTCTCTTGTCTTTGTCTATTTGATCCATTGACAAGACTTAGTCAATACAACTGGAAGTAGACAAGGATGCAGTAGATGATACGGGACTCCTTCTCCGGGTTTCATTAGCGGGTCTCATTCTCTTAGATGAGTTGCCATCCAAAGTTAACGGGTCCCATCCACCCGGAGGGTCAGCTACACAGTTTGACACTAGGCTTAAAACAAACAGCTGAGAGTATTTGACAGATGGAAAGAAGGCTTACTTACCCATATCCACATGTCGTCGTCATGCCAACGTAGTGTCCGTTCCTATAGATGGGTTCACCCCCCAGAGGCCAGTAATCATTGTGGACATCATAGTCATCCAATAGAAACTGGGTGAACCTTCGTTTGACCCCATTCTGGCGCTCTCTCAGCAAAGCAGCCTTGCCGATAAAGTCATCATTTTCCTGCAGCAGAAACAATTCACAAAAAATAAATTCTTTGGTAGGCCAGTTCCAGTAAAACTAAAATATCAAATTGAGAAAAAAAATGGAGACAACCAAAAAACAAAAATCAATCATCTTCAAGCTGAGTGTGAGACAATCTCTGAAAGTAAGGAAAATATGTTGTGAAAAGAGTCTTGATTTTTGTCCCACCTCCTTGTTCACCAAAAGTCAAAAGATTCAAATGCAGTATTATGTTTTTCTTGAAATAAACTGACAGAGCCGTTCCCCCAGTCCTGTCAGAGCATTCCAGCAAGAAGTCTGTGACTGAACGCAACTTTTATTTTAAGCTCCACACTGCCATTCACTTTTCAATGGTAACACCTCTTTGAACTGCTAACACAATTTAGCCATATAAAAAAAAAATTTAACCCACATCCAGTTTTGTCCTGAAGCCCCGCCCACATTCCAGTGGGGACGTCTTGTCATCCAAGTCCAGCCCCCAGAAGGCAAAGAAATTCTCAATTCTCAGATGACGAAGTGCATAGTAGCCGGCATTGCGGACCCCGTAGTCTTTGCCGGCAGTTATAAGTGTATCGTACACATGGAGGGCGTACTGTACAAAATGAGATAAATTAATCCTCACACAATTCATATAACGGCGAGCTTTAAAAAAAACCTGTGACATACCAGTAATAAAACGTCCCCTGTCAATGAATATAAGCAAATACAGAGATGCCAATTTTGAAATGTCACAAATGTTACTCATAAAGTCAGTTTCAATATATCTTGTTCTTCATTTAAGTGACACTGATTAATTCTACTACAATAAGAATAAAATTAGAATAGATATTAAATAGTGAGTTCTTCAACTGACATTTGTAACTAAGACTTACAAGCATGGGGAAAACGCATACTAATCTCTGAATTTGTGACATATTTTATGATATACTTAAAATTGAAAATTCATGACTCATCAGTACATCACTCAACCCCATTGTTCATATTTAAACAGAACATATACAATTATACCCACCTCTGCGGGAATATACAAGATAAAGCCATCCTCCCCCGTATGGGTCAGGCGCATGGCCCTCACCCCACTGGCATGACCCACATCTATCAGGTTGGTCGTCATCGGCCTGAAGGCCGTCTTATTTGTAGGGAAGTCCGAGACGTCGGCCAACAGCTGCTGTGCGTGCGGCCCAACAATGTTGATGCCAGAGAACATGGACGTCACATCGGTGACCTGCACGGACCCGTCGGCGGGGAGATGGGTGTTGAGCCAGGCGATGCCTCGGGTTTGTTGGGTTGCAGGGCAGATAATGTAGTAGCTGGAATGAATTATAGATACAACAAAACAATGAATGTTGTAATATTCTTCACTTCACATACAGCGCCATCACACATATGCTGCTTCTCTTACTGGACTTAACATGACAGTCATGATGACGTTGAAGCTGAGTTAACTGTGGTGCGGGGCAGAAAGCAAATATTTATACGGGTGGGGACGTAAGATGTGTCACAATAAGTAAAGCAGATAATTAATCTTTAACAACATATAAGTTGACAGTGATGATTAGTTTATTTAAATATTTCCATGACCAGACCTGTTTACCCCCAAACTCCTAAAATCGTACAATATCCTCTCAAAATCGTACTTTGCAGTATTTTGGTAGTAAATAAATAAAATACCGTACATGTATATATAATGTATACAATAACTACTCCTATAGCATGTTCAGTGGAATCGAGTTAAAGCTGGCGTCAAAATATGGAACTGTAGGTAAACAGTAGATGACTGACGTTAGCTGTTAACTGCGGTCACTTTGTTTTGCAGACGTGTATCGGCTAATACATATCAATTAATATTTGGGTTAACGTGCTGATCACATTATCCCAGTCTGTCACAGGTCAAAATAAAATCACTGGTGAAAGTTCAAACTTGACTTCAGATAAGCATAAAATAAAATGTATTAAAATAAGAATTAATTACCCGGTAACAAATTGAGGCCCCCCCCCCCACCCCTTTTTTGTGTGTGTACGGTACAGTGAGCTTTAAAATAAAAACACCGGTGAAAGTTCAAACTTGACTTCAGAAAAGCATAAAATAAAAAGTATTAAAATAAGAATGAATTACCCGGTAACAAATTGGGACCCCCCCCCCCCCCCCCACCTTTTTTTGTGTGTACGGTACAGTGAGCTTTAAAACACAAGCAGCCCCCCCCCCCCATAAACTTAACAAAATCCGCTGTATATCATGATGTTACAGTAAACAAAATGTGACATGGGTTTTCACCACGGGTGATTCGGCCAACCCAGTGGTTCCCAGAATAAACGCCACATCGCCCTGGGTGCTCGGGCAAGGGGGTGGCTGCGGCTTCCTCATCGGGGCGTTGCGAAATATTTTTTAAAAATTCATTATTTTATTTTCACTTTTAAACCAATGTGACAACTTCCGGTCGTGGTGCAAGCAGTAACCCACTAAGCAATTGCTGTTTGCAGTTCCAGATGGCGCTCAGTGACCTACATACACGTTATATTTATTTTTGATCCAACCCTTATTTTATTGGTGTATTCACTATTTCGAATTGTACATGTTTAGAATTCGACAAACACTTAGTGTGACATAGGCGCAGGGAAACGAAAATTTTAGAACCACTGGCGTTGCCCACCGAATTATACGTAACACGTGGCCTTACCATTCGGTGGACTAAACATTACTGTAATTTCTTTACTAATGAGTTTAGGTATAGCTAGCGAGTTCATTTATGAAAATACATCTTGACAACATCACGACGAAAATTCCTGCTAAATTTTGTCTGGTATTTTACAGCATTCGAAATATAAATGTGCTATTTTAGGACTTTCAGAGTTTCGGGATGAATAGTGTAGTATTTTTAAATACCGCATGTACTTTTTGCCGAGGAATATCCTCCCCACCCCACCCCTTAAACTGACATTACGAAAATGTAGGTGGCGGAGTTGATTGTATAGATTTAAATATTTAGACACTATCTCCTAAATCCACACCACTCATTTTGGCTCTGGTTGCTACTGAAAAGTCTGACTTGCAGAATGTGCAGTGCGCGTATGATGGGCCCTTCTATGAAGACCGCGGCATAGTATATTGTGTCTTACATCCAAGCAAGAATATACACTTTATTTATCTTTTGTTGAAGCTGATTTTTATCGGTAGAAGTAGAAGTTTCTTCTTCGTCATCGGTTTCGCGTGCCTTTCTTTTTGTCGAGGCCATATCGTAAAATACTCACTAAGTAAACTAAACTAGGGGACCGAAAATAAAAAGGATCGCTGATTCCATTAATGGTAACATTAAAATCAGGCAATGTGCACATCCGTCAATGTAGCCAAATTCGAACGCCAAAGCTGTTTGGGAAATGGGACATTCATGCATAACATACCTGGTACGCAAAATAAACATTAAAAAGTTTTTTAAAATATGTATACCCCCCGCCCCCCACCAGCCGCACCTTGTCAACGTAAAACAAAGGGCCATCTAATTACGTAAAACAATGGGCCATCTAACTATTACGTAAAACAATGGGCCATCTAACTATTACGTAAAACAATGGGCCATCTAACTATTACGTAAAACAATGGGCCATCTAACTATTACGTAAAACAAGGGGCTATCAACTATTACGTAAAACAATGGGCCATCTAACTATTACGTAAAACAATGGGCCATCTAACTATTACGTAAAACAAGGGGCTATCAACTATTACGTAAAACAAAGGGCCATCTAACTATTACGTATTATGTACCAGCTGAGGATGCGTACGACAGATTTTTTTTGGGGGGGGGGGGGGGGGGCGGGGGGTCAATTAGACTGCACCTACATTTATGAATACAATAATTATCCTGACAGTCTCTTATAAAGCCAAGTGTCATCTGAAAATCTGTGAAATAAGTGAATTCAAATTAGGCCTTTTATTATTATTATTATTAAGGCTATAAAATTTTTTTTACAATATTTCACAGTAAGCATTTAGGCATACTCATATAAGCTAATGCTTTGTGCTTTCATTAAGAGATCCCTGTAGTTGTAAAATTGGCGTAGTGATAACACACTATGGTCCAGTAATTCGTCTTTCCGTGGTGGTGACGTCATTATTTCCACCGGGCAGACACCCCCCCCCCCCTTTTTTCATTACTAGGGAAAAAAATTGAGCCGTCGTCTGATTTTTTCCGTTTAAAAAAGGGGTGGGGGTAGTATAAGTATTGATACAAAACTGTCGAATTAAGATTGGTTTTGCGAGTTCTACCAATAGTTTTTAAATGCCGCTGATTAGCTCTTATAAAAAGAACCCTGTAGTTGTAAAATTGGCGTAGTGATAACACACTATGGTCCAGTAATTCGTCTTTCCGTGGGGGTGACGTCATTATTTCCCCCGGGCAGACACCCCCCCCCCCCTTTTTTCATTACTAGGGAAAAAAATTGAGCCGTCGTCTGATTTTTTCCGTTTAAAAAAGGGGTGGGGGTAGTATAAGTAGTGATACAAAACTGTCGTATTACGATTGGTTTTGCGAGTTCTACCAATAGTTTTTAAATGCCGCTGACTAGCTCTTATAAAATATGTCCACATCCAACGTTCCAGTGCAGAACATTTTATTTTAAAAAACCATCTCGTCTCTAGTTTTCTCCGTTTTCACAATTGTCGCGGTTCAATGGAACAAAACTACGTCACACGCTTGGTGGCAGTCAAATGGGGAGGGCGGTGAAGCTGTTGCCAGGGCGACTAGTATAAATATTACCGGTGACGCAGCTAACTAGTTCCCTGTGACACACAAAGCAACAGCATGGCAATCGTCACCATGAATACTATTCTTTGCGGTGATATTTATTTATAGCCTTTGACACTCCCACCAATCCCCCATCCATGCGTCCCGTATGCCACAAATGTCCTTAATCAACAACCCCCACCTCCCCTCTCAATGCGTGCATAATATAATGAAGGATGGTCCCAACTTTAAAAAAAAATTACAACCAATCGTTTTTCTCGTTCCCATCACCAGTAGATTTTTATTGGAAAGGGCTAAAACTTCAACAAACGAATTTTAATCGGAATTTTTTTTTTTTTTCACAGGCTCTCTGAAAATCGTAGTTTTGGCGGGTCTCGGCGTACAATCGTAAAAGACATCTCAAAATCGTACATTGTACGCCAAAATCGTAAGAGTAAACAGGTCTGCATGACTAACAGCGTAAAAAAACAGCCGAGCTTACTGATTAGGTTCCAGGCGAGCCACTGTGCAGTCATTCTCAAAACCGCCATGTTCGTTGTGCATGCCGGTATGGACTATTGTACCAATGTCATTATCAATTTTGTTGGAACACAAGTAGTTCAAGTAAGCCGTGGCTTCATCTCCTTGGGACTGATAATAAATTCAAGTAAAGAAAATATATTTTATGAAGAAGAAAAAAAAACTTCTAGAAATTAGCAAATAATTTCTATAAAAATTGTAAAGACTTTAATACGACAAGAGTGGTAACAGGCCCAGGGAGTTCGAAGACTGGGTGATATGAATATGGACAGGTGGGTATCTTCTATGATAACAGTTCTTGGGTCATCTTGTTTTAGTTATTTTAGAAATAACTTTTTTAAAATAATCAAACAATCACTAATTTTAATTTTAAAAAAAAATTCATTTATACTGTTTAGTAACTTTTCCAATGTTTTAAGGGGAGGTGTGGGTGAAAAATCTAAAAATTTTGTTTAGCTTCATATAGGATTTTTTTTACCTACACCTTATTTGGTATTGTAATGGAGGTACAAAACAGGTTTAAAAAAAAAAAAAAAATTCCATTGGTTGCCTTTGTAGCCCATAAAAAACCTCCGCCATTTTTATTTTTTAACTGTTTTTTCAAACACTAAGGCTTTTACAAATATTAAGTTATTGCTATCAGATTTTAAACATAGATTATTTAATCTATAATAAAACTTTGTAAAACAGGACTTTTTGATGTTTCAACTAGTTATAAATATACAGGGTCGGAAATTGTGCCCCCATTTTTTATGCAAAAAATAGGGGTGTGGGTGAATTCTTTTTTACATATTTTCTTTTCTAAGATAGTTATCATAATTCTAGGCTAGTCAAATGTTAAGAATTGGTCACTGAACATACTGTGAAAATTTGGTGAGGTTTGGATAAGAAATAAAAAAGTTATAGGGATATTGGTGACCAAAAATATTGAAAACGAGAAAACTGAAATAACGAAGAAAAACAACAAAAACAATGAACATATCAATGAAAAATAAGAATCTTATACTCAGGTTGGAATAAAAACTTTTTATTAGCCTATTGTTGACATTTTTAATCCTTTTCCATGTCCTTTGGTCTTTTTTCCTGACCACTCAACTTGTCGCTGTGATTGATGTATTTTTATCTATTATTCTGATTTTGTCGAAAAAATAATAATTTGCTTATTTTGGAGAATTTCAGCATTATAAAATTGTGCAAACCATAAAATTAAGCTATGTAAATATGCAATGCCAAAGAGTTATATGGCATTATCCATGTTTGCTGAAAATGCAACTCTTAATCTTGTAAAAAAAATTGTAAGTTCTATGATTTCTAATGACAGAATGAATATTGACAGTTGTAAATTTTCTGATTTCTATCTTACAACTTTTGAATCATTTGAGTTGCAATATGTATTTTTCCCAAAAGCATATTAACAGTTTTTTGTGTGAGCCAAAACTCATGAGCAATAACTCCATTGTAAAATCTAATTAGTTACTGTATCAAATTTTAACACTAGCCATGTTGAAAATCACATCGCATAGAGATACAATGTTGAAATAAGGGAATTATTGATATGTTCCTTTCAACTACTGTCTTATTCTTTTGGTCCTTGAATAACACATAATGAGTTTTGTGATGTAATCTGTGTTAGTCTTCTCTTGCATCCTCTGTCTGAGGTTACTTTTATTTCGATGCATCGAACACATGTTGCGACGAGCATTCTGTAACAATGGGAATACATACTTAGGCCACTCCTTCTTTTTCATGTGCAAATTATCCTTTGGGCTAAATGGACCTAGGCACAACAGGTCAGTGTAGTTTATCAACAGGAAATATAATGCATGTTGTGGTTTGTTGTGTTCGGCAAACTCATTGCGCGTCTCCTCAATCATTCCTGAAAACAATAAACGTGTAGTTAGATATTTTTTATTAAATGCTTCTCAACAAAAATATAAGGCTATAATGACATTAATGACTGATAGGTCATACTTGTTGACACGTATTTCAAGCAAAATTTGTTAGGGCTCTTATTTTACTTTAGAATAATATAACACTAATGACAATGTCATTTGTGCCGCGATAAGAAAAATGAGAATTTTAATATATTACCATTTTAATAGCTATAAATATAGGACAGTGTAAGTCAAATGTCACAATTACTAAATTCATAAATAACTTATACTTATAAGTTTTATTTTTACTACAGTTCACTATCACTAAACTAACAGTGTTTATAACTAATAATAAAAAAGTATAAGAATAATAATGTATAGCCATAGGCAATAGCCTTCATTCAATGGTCTTTAGTGAGTACAGTATAGGCTTAGCCTTATGAATAATTGATACCGTACTTTAAATTTGAATATAAGTGAAAAATAGATTTTATCTTTCAGACTTACCAATGCATGGTATTTTTCTATTTTTCCTGCTAGTGAAGTAGCGTAGCGATGCGTGAACTTGAAGCGACTCGCACTAGGAGTAGGCTTAGTAGTTAGTTTACTCAGTCTTAGTCTTCTCAGAAAAGGGGAAGAATTAATCGTGTTTATCATGGCAATTAATCAAAGCCAACACATTTTGTTTGGTTATTTACTTATTTAGTGGTTTTTATAGCTCCCCGCATGTTTTTATTACCGACAAATTACATATCAAAATTGCTAGGCCTCACGAATTCAACAAAGGGTTGTTTATACCGGAAGTGAACTTTACGAACAGATTTCCTACACAGGAACCAATCAAAATGCTCGCTTTATTCAAAGGTCACGTGATACACGAAGTAGGACAGGAACATAACCACATTTTGCTAGACATTGCCGGCGATCGAAAGGTTCGGTTGCTTTTGTAAATTTCCTTGTGACCGTAAGCTATATTTATCTTGACCCGGAAATCGCCATCTTTCCAACCATACCAAATACATAGGGATTGGGCGATTCAAATATTCATAACAAAGGGGTAAAAACACTAAAAATAGTGCAATTTTGACATTTTTCTGATAGATAGGGTCAAGAAAATGGTAATTTATTATATTTTCTAGCTTACTTTTGTAAAAACAAATATAAAAATTTAATAAAGAAATGGTTAATAAAACTAAATAAACAATAAAAAAAAAATATTCAAAATTTGCCATTTTCGCCGATTCCTCACCCGCACCTCCCCTTAAGATATGTATTAGTAAATTCAACATACAATTTTAAAAATTAAGTTATTGGGGACATTATTTTATGTATAAACTGCATTGAATTATACCATAATATATAGTCATAAGACAAAAGGCAGTGGCTAGAATCACTAATTTGATTATCTTGCATGATGATACTTGGTAAGTTGATTTTAACTCTTCTAAAGAACTACATTTGACTTGAATGACAGAATATAATAATCATGTGTCAGGCTTTGAATGAGAATTATTATCAATCATGAGAGGCAAAATTTTCTGTAAAAACTCATTTAAGGTAACTCCGGGCAAAGGCATTAGCGTGTTCTTCTAGAGTGACCTACCCTGACTTCAAATTTGGCAAAAGAAGACATGTCCATCAGACAAACCCGCTCCTTGCAAGCCCAGTACTCCTCTTGCACGTACTCAAACCAGCCAGGCTTGGTCCAAGACCAGTGGGCCCCCATCTCTCTACCAATTAAATTATCTGGCAAGCAAATATATTGATAGGAATGCAGTGTTTGCAAATTACTAGCTAAAGAGAGGAAATAAAAATTCAATTTCATGTAAAAAAAACTCATATCTGGGGGAACTGACTTGCATGATTAAGTCCTAGGTTTAAAAAAAAGGAATGAAATAAATAAAATTTATCTACATGACAAAGATGACCACATTGGAGAGTTTATTTCTATAGCGTATTGTGCTTCTCTCAACTAAACTCCAAATCAGGCATTTCCCCGGGGCAACTGACCTTCATTGTTAGTGAAGTACATGGCCCTCTCGTAGGCCATGGTTTCACCAAACACGGCCCCAGCCACCTCTAGCCGAGTATGCAGGGGAGAGCAGCGAAGTTTCCGCCCCGTTTTGTATTCTTCTCTTGGGTACCTCAGGAGATAATGGTTTGCTGCAACAAAAAAATATACAGATGTTTAAATGTGTGTGACCAGAGGAATAAAAGAAAAAGATCATTTGATGTCAAATCTAGCAACAATCATTTGATGTCAAATCTAGCAAAAATCATTTGATGTCAAATCTAGTCACAATCATTTGATGTCAAATCTAGCAACAATTATTTGATGTCAAATCTAGCAACAATCATTTGATGTCAAATCTAGCAACAATCATTTGATGTCAAATCTAGCAACAATCCTTTGATGTCAAATCTAGCAACAATCCTTTAATGTCAAATCTAGCAACAATCATTTGATGTCAAATCTAGCAACAATCATTTGATGTCAAATCTAGCAACAATCCTTTGATGTCAAATCTAGCAACAATCATTTGATGTCAAATCTAGCAACAATCTTTTGATGTCAAATCTAGCAACAATCCTTTGATGTCAAATTTAGCAACAATCCTTTGATGTCAAATCTAGCAACAATCATTTGATGTCAAATCTAGCAACAATCATTTGATGTCAAATCTAGCAACAATCCTTTGATGTCTAATCTAGCAACAATCATTTGATGTCAAATCTAGCAACAATCTTTTGATGTCAAATCAAGTAACATTTCTAAACAAACTGTGTCTGTAATATATTAGATGAAAAGAAGAATGAACACATTTTGTAAACAATTATTATTTAAATGTTACCAGCCCTTATGATTGTAGATTAAAACATTACTAAAAGTTTGAGTGCAAGACATTTAGTTTTTTTTTATAAAATTCAGCTTTTAGGCTGTACATTTGTCAGGGTTATTATATTGGCCGACGAAAATCCATTGATTTAAACATTGACTTAAAAAAAAAAAAAAGGACATACCCAATGCCTCGGACATTCTGTCTCGTAGAAACTTTTTGTTGTTGTGGAGGCGCACGAACCTCCTGACGTCGTAGGGCCACAGGTTCAGACTCGTCTCCCCATCCACAATCCACTCGGCAATGTGTCTCCCCGCACCACCGGCTGCAGCTATCCCGTTGGAATTCATACCGGCAGCAATGTAATAGTTCTTTATCTGTCACATACAATTGTTTTCTAATTAAAATGACATGTATTGACATGATGCACCATTTATTTACATGGGGATAATTTTATTAGTTTTCTTCCCTTGTGCTACATGTACAATAAGCAGCCCCACAAAAAGACGACACATTTTTATTACCGGTATGTTAAAGTATGTAAATTGTGATTTTTAACTTTTAAAAGTAGCATTTTTTTTTTATGCCACACAACCTTTCCTTTTTTCTTCCTCATTCCTTAAGGATATGCACACATATGTAAAAGATTTTAGAGCAATCAAATTCCAACATAAAATACAAAAACTCAAGTGGGAGTTTTACAAACTAAAATTCACAGAGTCTTTTGTCTCTTCCATCACCTACTCTCACCAGAAACAGCCCTGAGTCTGATGAGTTACCTCATAAAATAAAGCTTATGCTTTGAAAGTGGAACAAAATTGTATGGTTATATAGAAAAACTTTCATTATTTAAAGGAGGTGTCACTTTAAAACGATAGTAAATAAGAATTGGCTAAAGAGATCCTCCTGATTGCAGTGGTATAGTTCATTTGTGAGATCGGGTAAGCTGAATCTCTATTTCATGACTCAGCAATAGTTTTGTTTTGTCACATTAAACTGTTATTAAATATTTGGTAAAATAGGGACTTGCTCAATACACTCAGGCCAGTATAAAAAAAGGCTTTCGCTGACCTTGGGAGATTTTCCCAACAGCCATTTCGAATCAGGTGTGAAGCTCTCAGGTCCATTGACCAGCTGGTGAACCTCAGCAGTGGACAGAATGGGCATGCGGTGCAGTATGTTGTCCAGGAGAATTTCTAGAAGATGTTACAAAAGTCAATGTTCATGCCACGAGACATGCTCACATACATTGAAAGAAATCACTTGAGGGGATGGGCCAATAAAACAAAAAAAAGTCTGCGTTTGCTTCCTGTGGCATTAATTTAAATATTACCTGAGCTCACTGGTTTTGAGCCTAGAAAACAGAAGCAGTAGGTAACTCACGAAAATGGTCCCAGTCCTCATGTAGCAGCTGGAACTCAAACTTTTCGGGAATTCCCTTGTGAAAAACAGTCTTGGCGTTGCTCTCAAAGCCTCCGGCCAACATCCCACCACCCCACTCTCGAAAGTAGACCTGTCCGTCATAATCTCTCACCACTGATAAGATAAGACAGGATTTTTTAAATTTACATTCAGCTATGTATAAGGATCTCATTCAAGACATGAGAAATGAATGGTAAATGTTGATCAAGTAATATTCTTCACTGCAGTTCATTGTTTAGGTTATCATTGTGTAAACCATCTCACAATAACACAATGTGTGTGTGTGTAAAATTTTCTGCCAAAAATCACTAGGTTGTAACAATTACACTTTGGAAAAAACCTGACATTTAGTAACTACAACCTTGATTCTGTAATACGAAATCCCAAATCTCATTGTTTAAACATGTAAAGAAACAACCATTTTAATAGTTTTCATAAGTGTTTTTATCAATTGTACACATGGATAATTTTAAGCCCAACATTTATAACATTCAGTGTTGAGGGCAGTTAAGATTCTGCACTGTACTAAAACGAGAGAAGTCACATAAAGGGTTTTCACTGGCCTGGCATCATGGTGTGTATCCCGTCCTGCGGCTTGGTCAGCAGGTAGTAATGTTCACAAGAATGCAGTGGAGCCTTCACTGTCTTTGGGTGAGTCATCTTACCAACTGTTCTGGCCCACTGCAAGAAACAACCACAAAAACGTAATGCTTAATGGGGGAGAGCCATATAAAAAAAAGGATGATTGTATGTGGCTTCAAGATGGCATTGAGAAAATCTGGATAAGTCTCTATAATAAACCAGGCTGAGGTCTCTACAATAAATCTGGGTAAGGTCTCTACAATAAACCTGGGTGAGGTCTCTACGTAAAATCTGGGTGAGGTCTCAAGCACTCTAAAACTAACAGTTTAAGAATAATACAGACTATATCACTAGCCAGTGGTCCCCAGGCTGTGCTCCACGTTCAATTCTCAGGGGCTGTGCCAGGAAATAAAATAACACCATCAACTTGTAAGACACAGGGCAGGCTGGAGCAACTCTCACAAAGTAATTAATTCTAGAAAGGGCCCAACAAGTAAAAAGTAAAAGGAACCACTGCACTAAGAGTGCTTTATCACAGGAATTAAAGACCACTGTCATTGTATGAACCCTGAAAAGAACTATATTTTTAAAAATTGTTTGAAAATATCAATAAGCTTTAAATCTAGACAAGCAAAAGACATAATCACATCACCTGCCCCGCACAGTTGATAAAGTATTCACATTTGATGTCCCCAGCAGTAGTCTTCACATCGGTGACTTCCCCTTTTGATGTTACAACCTTTGTCACACCAACACCCTCATAGACCCTGACACCTACAAATCAGGATTTGACCAAGTTAACAAAATATATTTATTTACTTTTAGAATAACACAATGACAAAAGTCAGGTGATACAATTACATTCTCTAAATGACAAATTACAGGAGTGAAAAACCAGTACAAAGACCTTCCCCACCCCCATCATCATCATCAGTGGTGCTACATCCCATGTAGGGCCCTGGCCTCCTCCACCACATCCTTCCATTCAGACATCATCATCAGTGGCGCTACAGCCCATGTAGGGCCCTGGCCTCCTCCGCCACATCCTTCCATTCAGAACAACCCATGGCCTTCCCCACCCCAGATTTACAAATTTTATCAATTAAAACTAGATCACAATGATATAATTTTTACCAGGTGACACCACACTGCATTCAATTAGGTTTTTGTCATATTGAAATTTCCAATGATTTGTACACATTAAAATAGTGCTTTTAAGGGTTCAATTAAAAAAAAACAAACAACTTTGTTTTATCATTTTTGGTCAGCTCAAGATTTTGATTCGGTGTGAAATTTTTGCACTAGGAAAGTTCATTAATATTGTAGATGCACTTACCTTTTGAAACTGCCCACTTGGCTAAAGTTTGAGACAATGCTTGAGCATTGACCACACCATCTTGCGGTATCCACATGGCACCCTGGTGTTGTGGGGGGGGGGGCGGACAAAAAAACCCAAAGATAATCATGGGGACAAAGATGAATCAATTTAAATGACTTAATAAAGAAATGTTCTCATCGTCTGAGTAAATTTTGTTTAATAATGAACACATCCAAGAAAAAATACGTGAAAATAGAGCACTGTTAAAATTTTGGAACAATGAAAACAAAGGAAACAGAACATAACTGACCACAAGATCGTCTGTAAATAATATTGGGCAATGTTTCTTTGCTTCTATTGGTGACATAAGATGTGTTTCTACTCCTACAGTCCTGAAATAAATATACTTTATCTTCATTGATTTACTTTAAACAAAAAAAAACAAAATAAATTAAATTAATAATTAACCTTAATATAAAAATAAAACTGTCTTATATTAACAAGGAAATTTAAATGTAATGTTAATAATTCAAACATCTTCAAACATATCATAAGGAAAATTGTGAAGAGCTTGCTGAATTCATGACGTGGATCAGTACTAACTTGGCAGTGGCATGTTTCCTCTTGAATTCAACCAGCCTCTCTTTCGTGCGTGCCACACTGATGCTTCCAGTCTGTTTCCAACCTGTGGAGATAATGAAAGGAAGAATGGGCCAAGGTTTGTTGAAAGAAATACATTCAGAGTAGGCTTTATTTCCTTACCCGCTCTAATTAGTCCACTACCAACTTGCAGTTTCATCTGGGACTTAACACTGCTTCCAGCTCTATAAGTTAAGGTCTTTTTAATTTAAACTTTATATTGTTTGTCAAAAAAGATATTTTGCGTACGCATAAAAATGTATTATGTTATGATTTTGTAATGTAACTTCATTCAATTTTTTTATACCTAGCCAGGTAAAACTCTTACCGATGTCATGACCGTCTTTTTGCAAACTCTCGTAAAGCCTCTTGCTGTAGTTCAATATTTTCATCTCTGTTGCACTGGTTCGTACTTGACCTATGAGGCCGGCAGAGTGCCATGTCGTGCCACAAGTCAGCCTGTGTTTTGAAAACACCAGCTGTCACAAATGTGATAAGGCATGAAGGTGAATATTAAATATGGATGCGGCTCTAATAGGATTGCAAGCTGAAGCAAGGCCACCACCATCAGGATGTTTTTCCAGCATTTAAGTCGTTCACCTAATCCATAAGTTTTCAAAATTATAAAAAAAATCTTACAACACATTAAAGTGGTTATATCACGGGTCAGTACTTTGTGGACAAGATCAAATTGATTTTGATACCAATATATAAAAATGGTTTTGTCCAACAAAACAGCAGTGGACATCCATAAAACGTGGGAAAATGTCTTATGGGTTGTATTTTAATTTTTATTGTTGTAACTTTTGGACATAAAACTTGCAGCTTTTCTATCTACATTTGGTTGGAGTGGCAACATTGAGACAGACTTTTTTGGAGCTTTTCTTACAGTTACAGATAAAGAAAACAATTTATTCTACTTGCTTCCGTATTTTCCAATCAAAATTTACTTTACTATTACATACATGTAAAGTCATTTTTCTCATTAAAATTAATTATAAAAAATATTATACATAAATAAATAAATTTCTTGTGATAAAGATATTACGAATATTATCTCTAATATTATATAGACTACATGATTATATGAAAGGTGGATTTAAAATTAAAATTTATAATGTTACTGGAAAATAAGAGCAATCGATTGGTTTTAATATTACCTTCCTTGTTCCAAAATAACGACATCAGTCCATCCCCTCTGAGCCAAATGGTAGGCAACAGAAGAACCAAGTATCCCACCACCACAAATGACGACCCGAGTTTGGCTCGGTAATCCGGTTTTGCCATCTAAGCTGCTCAAGAATGGTGTTGTGGATAGAGCACGATGGCACTCCTTCAGGATGCTGAACTTTGATGCATCTGGTCCCACATGTTGTGGAAATTCATTTTGTAGTATTCTCAAAATGTGAGGATTTAACCGCAACATTATCTTCCGAATTCAAAGTTTAGATTTCACGCCTGATACATAATTAAAACCACAGAACTGCTTGCCATCAACAATGCTAGAGATAAAAGCTTTGATGTAACTGATTGTATGAAAACTTAGCTTCTGCTTTGTGTTTATAGTGCAATCACATGTCATTTCTTGACCAACGGTATGGTAAGTAGGCCAAAACTGACAACAATTTTTCACATATTATGTTAATAAATTGGTAAAAGTCTTTGTGTTTATATTCAGTAGGTGTGCTTCATACTGGCAACAAAAATCTGTCAGAGAAATATTTTTAAATGTCTAAACAAATGAATTGTAGTGACAGTTTTCCATTAAACTAATGATCTATTTTGTACACATCAGATTCAATGACAAACATTATTTTAAAACAGTGTCAAAGTCCAAGTAACACATAAAAGAAAATATTCGGGGGGCAAGCAGCTGAGAACATTATTATTAGTGAAGACTACATACATTTGAAACATTTATTCCCTGACTCATTGGTTGTAATGACTGTTCATAGTTGATCAAGTTAAGATGTACTTAATTACTGGGTATTTAATGTTTCCATTTTATAGTATGGGGCTATCCATATATGACTTTATGCTATTTTGGATGATTTTCACACACACACCACCCCCCTCAACTTTTTTTTTTCCCAATTAGGGATGACCCTTATTCACAAACTGACTGAGAATTTTAATCAAATTTATATCATAATCCTCTTTTGTTAATCCTCACATGCTAATTAAAAAGTTCATATAAACTTTAAATAAGCCCTACTTCACTTCTTCAAATATTGTTACATACCTTAAAAACAAGATTCTCAGTTAAGTGGGGCTCACAGGTTGAAAACTAATTACTTAAATTAAAATATTTAAGTGATATTTGTTTATTTGGTTGTTGCACATTTGGGTTTTAATGCTGGTATCTTAAAAACCAAAGGCCAAAAAATTATAATAAACTTTTGTTGAATAATTTTATGAACATATAAAAAGAATTTTCAAATCATAATTTAGAATTATCTTAACTCATGAAATTACAACAATGAAACTTGGTGCAGCTGGTCTGTATGATATTGATATTATTGATAACTCTTGGAGATCATTCCCATGTAAAAAAAATGCCTTTGATCCTTGAAGGTCATGAAAAATAATTGCAAACATATACGGTATACAATTTGACTGTTAGATATACAATGAAATGCTCTCATGAGATCAAAGTAAACAGAAGCGAACAAGATTTACAATAAAATGCTCACATGATATCAAAGTAAATAGAATTAGTTACATAAGTGCCAAATTTCAGCTCACTATTTCTAATAAAGACAGAGAAACCTGTCCTGTGCAGGGTGTTGAAAAAACAAAATTCCTGTTTTAGTTTTATAATTTATATTTGGCAAGCGGCAGACAGTTCCACTGGTTTACACTTCAAGGGTATGGTGAAACAGTTGGTCATGGCAAGGCTAAACTAGTCATAAAACTTGTCACAAGAATCACTTAAAAATTGCATTTGACAACCAGCATATGTATTATGAATGTTTTATTTGTAATGAGTATTGACTTTCAGTTGCGATTTATCTGGTGTCAACATGTTTTAATCAGAGAAAAATAATCTTACAGTACATACAGTATGGTATGATACAGTGGGAGCATTTATCCCTGTCTAGGTCTAGGGAAAAGTAGGCAGTTCAACAGGAAACATCACAGGCTGGGGCATTTCCTGAACTATTGGAATGCAGGGAAGGTGATGCAAAAATATTACTAATAAGGACTCAAGGATATTCCCCGGGAAACCGGAACATCTGTTCACTGTACAAAAAGGCCACATGAAAAGTGAAAATGAAAAGGTGTTGGTTGAGTATTTGTAATTTGTACTTAGTAGGCTGTTGACTAGTACTAGTCACTAGTACTACTAACTAGTGGTAGTAGGCTGTTGACTAGTATAGGCTATAGGCTATAGCCACTATAGTCTATGGTTAGGCTAGAGTCTCTGCCTAGCAGACACTGAGGCGGGTCAGTCGCTGTCAGTGTGAGTGACTGACCGAGAATCTGATTATTAATATTTTATTAGTAGTGATTAGATTCAGTATGTACCATAGAAAAAAAAATAAAAATTGACACAAAATGTGTAAATTAGACTCAATTTAAATATATTTACTTTATATTAAGCGTTTGCTAATTTATCATTACTATATCACACATATACATACGCCCTATTATTTTTCATATGATACTTTTTGGAGTTAATAAAGATTTAAAACTTTAATGACAGTTCAGCTGAAACTGAAAGAAATGAATGCAGCTTTTGGCAGTGTTATTGGCGTCGATTTCAGATTAGTTTCATTACAATGTCTTATGAATGTTTTGTAATGCACGGAAAGTATAAAAAAGTAGAATGCAATAATAATTTGCGAATAAATTTAAAAAGGTGCATAAGTTTCAGTTAATTTATAGACAGTTAATGTTATGAATAAGAATAAAAATAAAATAAGCCTACTATTAAATATTAAAATAAAATGGAATCGTTTAAACTCCAAAATTTCAAGAATTAATTGAATTACTGAATGTTTGAAATAGTATTTCATGTTAAATAAAACAATTAATATTCATGAATATAATATAAATTATAGTAGTAGTTAGGCGAGTTAGGCTACTCACTGACACTGAGTAAGAGTAGGTTAACATTTGACTTTTGTAACTGACACTATTAGTATTAGTAACTATCTTTTTAACATTTATATCTCATAGAATTGTTTTTGAAAATTTAATATATTAGGAAGAAACCTATTATTACGTGATATTAATATTACTGTTAGCCTAGTGGCCTACTAATATGATAGGCCAACGATTCCTAAAATATGCGGCGCCTGGTGTGCTTCAGAAAATGACATGATTCTTAATTTTATTTCGTTTTCAATTTATTGTGCTAGGAGGGGACTGTTGCAAACCATTGAATAACTTTGTAAGCCTCTACGAGTCAAAGTCAAATGGCGACTTGTGATCTTAAATATAAGAGGCTTCATTTATTTTTACCCAATGATAATGCTCTTGATTAAGAAAAAAATTATACATACTCGCAGATTAGGTGTTTGTTAGAATTTGATGAGGGGGTATTTGGAAACCCTGGATACAGCAATGGAACTAATAATCGAAACATTCTGAGAACCGTTGTTATGGGCAGTAGGACAACTCATGCTCGATTAAATTTGTTGGGAGTTTTTAAAGTTACATCCCTTTGGTAAGTGTCTTACTAGATATTTGGAGTGGAGCTGGAGCTCGGAGCAGTAGGGCGCCTTCTGCCCGGAGACGGAGTGGAGCTAGAGCTCAGAAAATTTTTTTACTGCCCCCAGCTCCAAAAATTTTATATTATTATTATTATTATTATTATTTTAAATTGATGCTTTGCTCTTCTATTAGCTATTTTGCCCAACTCTTCTACCAGTTAAGTTGCCCCACTTTTATACCAGCTTTGCTGACCCACTCTTCTTCAGTAATGTTGCCCCCAATGGTCAGCTATGTTACCCCCCCCCCCCGACTCTAAGATATGTTGCCCAACTCTTCTACCAGCTATTACAAAATGGCCACTTAATGCTCAATGACACTCTATGATTTTTATCTCTAAAAGTGTGTGTTAGGTGTTACTATGATTTTTATCTCTAAAAGTGTGTGTTAAGTGTTACTATGATTTTTATCTCTAAAAGTGTGTGTTAAGTGTTACTATGATTTTTATCTCTAAAAGTGTGTGTTAAGTGTTACTATGATTTTTATCCTAAAAGTGTGTGTTAGGTGTTACTATGATTTTTATCTCTAAAAGTGTGTGTTAGGTGTTACTATGATTTTTATCTCTAAAAGTGTGTGTTAAGTGTTACTATGATTTTTATCTCTAAAAGTGTGTGTTAAGTGTTACTATGATTTTTATTCTAAAAGTGTGTGTTAGGTGTTACTATGATTTTTATCTCTAAAAGTGTGTGTTAAGTGTTACTATGATTTTTATCTCTAAAAGTGTGTGTTTAGTGTTACATTGTTCATATGCAAGTCTATGGTGATGGAGATTGTTAGTAGTACAGTATAATGTTGTCTACCGCTATCAATAACCTCTTCGTATATAAGCGTGTAGTGGAAGAAACGTCTAGGCTGTTGAGCGACCTGTAAATGGCATAAAAATCCACGACATTTTACATACATTAAAAATAATATACATAGAACATAGAGACCGTTGAAAATTTAAATAATATTTTTAAACCTATATCTTGTTGACCTCCTCTAATGAACAAAATAGGTTCCCAACACTTTTTTTGTGTGCCATGACCCTATTTTATAGACGCAAAGTGACTCGTGGCCATCATATTAAAAAACAAACAAAATAGAAACAAACAAACAAACCACCTAATACATAAGAGACAGCACATCCAAAAAACAGGTTTAGTCTTGCGGTATTATGCCAACTTTATTAAGACACCGATTAAAGGTGAGCAGGTCTTTAAAATCATCATTTTCTTGTCCACTGTTTCAACGGGAGACACAACAGAAACTACCCGTGCCCCAACTTAGCAATATATTATACTACAGACCTTATCAAATATACCCCACATTATGTATCTTATGATAATTTCCCGAGAAGCTGCGGAGTCTTCAACGCTAGCATTATTCTGCAGGTGGAGTGTGGGCAGTAACCATGATAGCATTGTTGAATGTAAGATGGATTATTAACAATAACTATGACAACTTATTGAATGGCAGCTGTAACTTTGATAATGTCTCTGATAACATTTTAAATAGCAGCTAGAACAGTGACAACAACTAGGATAGAATCTTAAATGACAGCTGTAATTTTGACAATAACTATGATAACATGTTAAATCGCAGCTGCAATTTTAACAATAACTAGGGTGACATGTTTAATAGTGGCAGCTGTAATTTCGACAATAACTAGGATAAAATACGAATACACAGAAAGCTTTTTAGTTTTTAAAATGATCCTTATTATTTTATTGCTGTCCTTTTTAGTTCTGATCTTTTTCTTCTCATGAGACAAGTGCGCGTCCAGCGTTGGGGCATTCATCGTCAGAATGATCTAAGGCGAAGTCATGTTATTTCTGGCTCTGGGGCTAGCTGACCTAGAGGCAGGCTGACCTCAGACTGTGGTGACAAGGTTTCAATTTACTCAATCATTATAGCTAATGCATTTTTTGTTTGTTTTGCAAATGACTTTTGTTTTTATGACGATTAAAAGATACAATGTGTTCCAGCTCTCAAAAAAGGAAAATGTAAAGAAACTAAAAGAAAGATTATTTAGTCATTGGTTTGTAAAGATTGTTTTAGCCGCCCGGGGGTGGTAATTTAGTTTTTGGCCCTATTCCCTTCTATACAGTTAGTCAGAGAAAAGCCTTCTGAAGACAAAACACAACAACAAAAAAACATAAAGAAAAAACAAGTGAAAATGTCGTAGTAATTATATTACATCTACACTCATATTTTAGCTTATGGTTTTTATTCCAGTCGTATTTTTTTAAAATTCACCCCTACGTTATTATTATTATCTATATATATAATTCGCTAGCAAAGGTCAAACACCACGCAGGCTATTTATAGATACGCCAGATTGTGGCTCAATAATGAGTTCAGTAGCGCGTAAAATATAATGCCCGATAAATACGCTAAATGATTGATATGTTTTTTGAAATAACGCAATTGCGTTTGGTGCGTAATGTTTTCTTTTCGGAAATGAAATCGTCTCAATTTAAGTATTGTGTAAAAAATATTCGGTTTAAATTTAAAAGTGGTTGGGACATGAGAATATTATTACAGTTTGGACAACTGCTTAAAATCGTTCCTTAGTTGATACTTTAAATGTATTTGTAATTTATAATAATAAAACTTAAAGTTACTTTGTTTTTGTCTGGTTTTAGCGCCCTCTCCTATATTTGTTCTGTTTTAGGTAGGATATGTATATTGATATTATGTAAATTTAATTTATAATTACTTAAATGTGTTTGGTTTGTTTGTACTGATGAAGGCATGTGCCGAAACGTTTAATTGTGTATAATGTATAATTATTATTAAAGCGTAACTTATATTGTTCTATTGACACAATTTGTTCGTGTCTTATTAATCCTTTGTTAGGCACTGTTTAAACGAGCCATAACTTAAAACAAGAGATTAATTTCTCACAAGAGAAGCCAGTGCGTAACAACAGGTCTCAATTTGCTCGCCATGGCATCCCAAGAGAATTAATTAGTGAAAACGGACCCCAGTTTTTTTCGTGAAGAGTTTATCAACTTCTCAAAACAGTGGGGCTTTATTCACATCACTTAGTCCCAGATACCCAGAGTTCAATGGCATGGGTGAAAGAGAAATACTGACAGAAAAGACTCTTTTCAAGAAAGCTCAAGCGTCGGGCCAAGATCCATATATTGCCCTGTTGCAGTTTAGAAATGTTCCATGCCCTGATGAACCTTCACCTGCACGGCAACTCATGGGCAGACGCCTGAAATCAACTCGTCCAGCTACTTTGTCCTACCTTAAGCCTAAAGTTCCAGACCCAAAAGAAATGGCCAACATCTGGAATAGATGAAAAAAAAACGATCAAGGAAGATATTACAAAAAAAAAAAAAAAAAAAAACAAAAAAAAAAAACAAAACAAAAAAAAAAAAAAAAAAAAACAACAAAAATAAACAGGCAAACTGATGGGCCGTACACAGATTCCCCGGGGAGCGTGGGCACCCGGGGGGGGGGGGGGGCTGATGTCCTGTCCGTTCGTTCACCATACAAATACGCTACAGTAAATTAAAACTACATTAAAACATTACTAAACATTTTTTGCCCCCCCCTGGAAAGTTAATCGATTTTTTTGCCCCCCCCCCCTAGAAAGTTTTCTGCGGGCGCCCATGCCTGGTAGCTGTGTTTATATGCAGAATAGACATCGTAGCTCATGGAAGCCAGCAGTAGTTCAGAAGCCTCCACACTTTGTCATACATTGTCAAACATTGTCAATCAAAACACCAGATGGGATGACCTATCTACGAAATCAGAAAATGTTAAAAGAGACATTTGGCGTGCAAAGCAGTGCTCCAGATGTATTCGAACTGGACAGCCCTGATACAACCCATGAACCAAAAGCTACCATCCCATTGGTTGAAAGAGAGACTGTAAAGAATGTGTCGCCACCAAGTGCCACCAATCCCATCCCATCACAAGTGGTAACAACATATGGCAGACAAGTGAAACCACCAATACGCTTTCCTGATACAGACATTTAAAATATACATTGCTATACATTGCAAATTGATATTTGAACCATTTGTGCATAACATTTTAAAAAAAATCATCTATTGATTGCCTTATTAAGAGGAAG